CTGTGAAATGAAAACGGAGGGAGAACTTGTATGCAAAGCGGGGAAGGAAAGAGCTTGCAAGGCTATAAGGCACATATTACCACAACACTGGGCCACTGTTGTACAGTGCTCACTGGCATAATGTAAATCAGGCATAGGCAAACTCCGGCCCTCCAGATGTTTGGGACTACAACTCCCACCATCCCTAGCTAACAAGACCAGTGGTCAGGGATGGTGGAAATTGTAGTCCCAAACATCTGGAGGGCCGGAGTTTGCCTATGCCTGATGTAAATTTTACAAAATGAAACATCCACTGCTCTGAATTATTAGTCACTCCACTTTACTCAGAATTATTTTCCAGAAACATCAAATTCTCAGTAAAGGTAAAGGGACCCCTGACCATTAGGTCCAGTAGTGAATGACTCTGGGGTTGTGGCGTTCATCTCACTTTACTGGCCGAGGGAGCCGGCGTACAGCTTCCGGGTCATGTGGCCAGCATGACTAAGCTACTTCTGATGAACCAGAGCAGCACATGGAAACTCCGTTAACCTTCCCTCCAGAGTGGTACCTATTTATCTACTTGCACTTTGAGGTGCTTTCAAATTGCTAGGTTGGCAGGAGCAGGGACTGAGCAATGTGAGCTCACCCCATCGCGGGGATTCAAACCACCAACCTTCTGATCGGCAAGCCCTAGGCTCTGTGGTTTAGACCACAGCGCCACCCGCGTCCCTTCACATTCTCAGTAGTGTTCGAAATTAGCTTTCGACCACTTGTGACCAAGTGAAGACGCCTGGGATGGCGCCTGACATCTCCACCATCTGAGGATTACTGGATCTGGACTGTTTTCACACACTGATACCCCATCCTCTATCCGTTATATTTTATCTGAACAATTGGAATGCATTTCTGGAACCAAATTCCCTTTTCTGTGCAGCCTGAGCAGGAGCGGTCACCATTAAGACATTAGAATAGGCCAAAATATACATGGACTGTCTCTGACAGTCTTTTCTTCTATAAGGTCTCAAAGCTCTTAACCTAGCTCAAGGTTGTCTTCTTGCACTAGCCATGTGTTTAACTGAGAATCAATCAGTCAGTCCATCATTTGAAAAACAAGACTTTAGAGCTGCCTTGCCCCAAAATGGCAACTAGAAATTCCATTTTGGCAACTGCAAACTTGGTTTAAGGAGCCATTTGGTGCCTAGCTTATACACCTAAGTTTCTAACACTGATTCTATAGCACTTTAACAACACACATTCTAGGGTGTGTTTGTGTATGTGGGTGTGCATGCACCAAGTAGGTCAACAGGTGGACGCAGTATTTGCCATCCAGTACACTATCACAACCAAAAGATTATGGTAGGGCCAAACAAACCATGTCATACCAGAAACCAGCAGAATGCAGGTGCACACTGTTCAAATTCACCTGCCCTACTCTTCAGTTGTTCCCCATGAGGAGGAAACAAACTATAGCAGTGGATTAGCATTATGTTGCTTCTTGTTATCTCTAGACCAGTGCTCTGGTTTGGTTCCTCCTTGTTCAGCAAAGAGGGGAGCAGCAGGGCAGGCATGATTTGACACGTGTATACCACCTCGCTGCTGATGAACCAGGACAACAAAAACATAAGTAGCTACTGAACCTGATTGATGGACCATCATTGGCCATTGTAAAAACAAGGAAAGCCTGACACCAACTGTCAGAAAGAAGCAGCAGCCACAAGAAATACCTGTAAGGTAAATCTGGCTGTTTTGATTTAAGGGTCATTCCGTGTCAAGTGATCAAATTTTTTAAATTTATTTTTTACCTTATGTCATCCAATTTCCTTAATATTTTGTACACGTTGAATTATCAAAACTAAGTTAAAATCTAAAATTTTAAATTTTTTATCTCATCCCGTTTTTGAGCTATGAGGGTTGGAAATTAAAAATAATAATACATTGAAAATTTTGGCCTTGCCGGGCAAAAAACTAAGAACTCAGCTCAGAATTGAGATAGATCATGAAATGAAGTACAAACAAGAATTCTTTCAAAGTGTTAATTCGATCAAGCAATAGCAAGCTATCACTCCACTTTTAAAACACATTTTTAAAGGAAAAGCCCGACTAGCTTTTCAGATGCCTGAAAAATAACTGATATTATATTTTGAAGCCTAGTTTATTCTGTTATATCTTACTCCAAGAAGACCCATTTATCCTAAATAGAACCCAGTAAGGAAGACATGTATATACTATATATATATATTGATCTCACTGAGATCCCAAGATGAAATTTTGCAGGTAGCGCTTAGAAATATTAAATAATCAATACATTTTTGGATTTTTTTGAACATATTATTTTTAATCACTTTTTAAAATTTTGCAACTTAACTTTAAAATTTAAAGTAAGGTGATCATGTGACATATCATATTAAAGCCAATGACATTCTGAAGAGATTGGTATCTTTAGTCTTGACATATCTCAGTTCTAGGTTGAGACTGTAAGGTTTTTGTGTAGACCAAAACTGCCAATTTTTTGAAATTTCAAACCATCATAACTCAAAAACAGGATGGGATAAAAAATTTAAAACTGAAATCTGGGACCCTCTCTTATACTACTTTTAGGAAACTGAAAGTGGAAGCAATATAAAATGGTAAAGTAAATGTGATTGGATCACTTGATATGGAATGACCCTTAACACCAACTCTTAACGCTTTTAAAAACAGTTAGAATAATCAGTGTGTGTGTGTGTGTGTGTGTGTGTGTGTGTGTGTGTGAAAAAGTCATCTCCACTGCAAGACATCAAATATCTATCAATGGCACAATGTTAGCATACAACTCAAATTAGATACAAAACAATACATATTTTAATTTGGGTATGATTCAGTTTCTGAACTGATCTGATTAACATTAACACTTAACATTTTAGAACTGTGTTAAGAATTTATTCAAATCCATTCAGAAACTGAATCATATCCAAATTAAAATATACACTTTAGAAGCACACTAAACAGCACTAACATTTGCTTTTCTACAGGTGAACAATTATGAAGGTCTCCTTGGATCAAAATTCAGTTCCTATGTTGTCGATATAGAAAAATATTATTAGTACTATGAAATAATCCCTTGCCATTGAAAAGCAACAGTGAAGGGAAAAACCACAGCTAGGAACCATTACAACTAAACAAAACTTTAAACTTGTTCATGCAGTGTTCACTCTCATATTGTGAATTAGGAAAGCTTGCCTTTATAAAAGCACCTTAACAAGAAACAAAATTAACCGCCTCTTGGAAAACTCAAAATCCATTTTAATATAGAGAACTGCATCTTTTGATGTTGTGATACAGATGAAAAATGGGTCCAATTTCCCCCCATAACTTTCACACAGCCACTGTACTATACAGGCATATTTAGTAAAATGTAAGCTATTTCAATATTCCACACTGGGGTTGTCCTTGTCAAACTGTAAAAGCACAGAACTGTCATATCAATCATATCTACCAATATATAAGTCCCAATCCTGATTGTTTACATACTTGATAAAACACATGCAAGTATATAAAAATAGTTGCCACCAAGTAAGGAAAGTTAAGCGTGTAAGATTTTATGCAATAATATTTTGCTGGATTAAATCTACCTTTTTTAATAAAAACCCCAAAACATTCTTAAAATGCCAGAAGTTCAGCATGATCCATACTACAATCAAACTCTTCAAACTTGTTATAAAAAGTTGAATATAATTTCTTCCAATGGTTGAACTGGCAAGGTCACCGTAAAATTAAAAACCACAAGCTCTCTTTAAAACAAGCTGGAAGCAAACACTGCTGCATAACAAAAATTGGTAAATGAAAATGAATAAAGAAAGAAAGAAAGAAAGAAAGAAAGAGAGAGAGATATCCATTTGAATGTTTTCAATTACTACAAATACATGGGATGGGCTTGCACGCTATGATTTAAACCATACTGTGCTTCCGCCAATAATTTGATCTCTATTCCCAACGCACTGCTTTCCTTTGTAAACAAAAACACCACCCCCTAGTTTTGCACAAAGTCAAGAGTCTGCAAGATACTCCCCCACCTTCCCCAAGCATCACATGCATGCTCCCTTTCCCCTGCTATTTCGCTCAGCCCCAATTGATTCTTCCAAGACAGTGGTTCCCAATTAGCTGATTACTGAGGACCCCCTATTTTTCAAGAGCCACGGACACCCCAGCCCATCCTTGCTTTGCAACATGTTGATAACTGCATGGTAGATGCCTTTGCAAAGCAATTCCGTGCACAAATTGTGGGGCAGCCCCTAATAAGCAAAGCAGTTTTGGTATGTACTAAAAACAGCAACAAACAACAACAGGCCATAAAATATGTGATATTACCATGCAAAAAAGACAAAAAAATAGTTGGGGGGTAGGGCAAGGGATGGGGCTGTGGATCCCGTGGATCCCCATTCTAATGGCCCCCTATTTTTCAAGAGCCACGGACCCCCCCCCCTTTGCAACATGTTGATAACTCCATGGTGGCTGCCTCTGCAAAACAATTCACTGCACTAAATGTAGGGTAGTCCCTAAGAAGCAAAGGAGTTTTGGTATGCACTAAAAACAGCAACAAACAACAACAGCAGGCCATAAAATGTGTGATATTACCATGCACAAAAATGACCAAAAAAATTAGAGAGAAGGGAGGCAATGAATGGGGCCCCTAACTGGGAACCCCTGTTCTCAGACCATGTTTGCCATCTCTTCCTGCGAACAAGTAGCTCAGGATTGCTATTTATTTTCTCTCTCTCTCTCAAGTTCTGCCACTGTGGCTTCCCTCACCTTGCCCTCTTCCTGCAGGAGCCCCTCGCTTCCCTTCTCCCCACATCTGCCCCCCTTGCCGCGCGCATCCCCGTGACGGAGGGGGGGGGTTCAGCACCACCCCATTAACCCCCACCCCACCCCCCTAAAACAAAAACCCGTCCACCACCCCTTCCTAAGACGATGGGCTCCGGGGTGGAACAAGTGGGGGGCGACCCCCCCCCGGGCCCTAGACCCCCCCCCGCTCGCCGTACCCGGGGTGCTGCTGTAGGTGCTGTGGCTCTTGAAGCTGCTCTCCGTGCAGTAGCTGGCGTCGTCGTCCTCGTCCTCCTCCATCTCTTCGGGGTAATCCGAGTCGTCGTCGTCGTTCTCCTCCTCCTCTTCTTCCGCCACGGCCTCGTCTTCCCCGGAGTCGGGCTTCTCCCCGGACTCGCCTTCCTCGTCGTCGGACACGGCGCTCTCGTCCTCGTCGCTCTCATGGTCGTCGTAAACCACTTGGCTGCTGCTGCGGCCGCTCCTCTTGGGAGCGGAGGAAGAAGCACCACCACTTGAGGCGGCGGCGGCGGGCGCCCTGCTTTGGCTGCCGCCTCCTCCTCCTCCTCCCGCCGCTCCAGCAGCAGCAGCAGACCTGCCCCTGCCCCGGCCGCTATTGCCTCCCCCGCCAGGGGTGCTGCTGCTGCCGCTGCCGCCCTTCCTCCTGCCGCCTCCCCTGACTGAGGGGGAGGCCTGGGCAGCGGCCCCCCTCGGCTTGGGCCCTGCAGCCCCGGCAGCCTGGGCCGAGGCCGCCCACCTGCCCCGGCTGCTGCCCCTCAGGCGGGAGCGGAGTCCCCCGATAGGGCCCGGCGGCGGGGCTGCTGGAGCCGGGGTGCTCGCCCGAGCCGGGGCCGCCGCAGGCTGCTGGTGCTTGGGCGGCCTGCCTCGCCGGCCCCGCATCGCTGGGCGCTGGCCGAGAGCGCTGAGGGGGGAGGTGGTGTGTGCGCGCGCGAGGGCCTTCGGGTGGCTTTTCCGAGCGGGCGGTTGCGCTCTTTCTCCCCCGCCCCCCCCTCCCTCGCCGGGGAAGGAGGGCCTCCGGCGAGCCGCTCGGGCCGAGGGGCTTCAATGCGAAGGGCCGGCGTCCCGCTCGGGATCGCCGCCGGCCGCCATCTTGTTTCTTCGCCTGCTTGCCTCGGATCGCTCCGCTCCGACAGGGGGGAGGGAGGGAGGGAAGCGGCGGCAGGGCCGGAGCGGGTCACGTGGCCGGGCCTTGCCTGCGCTTCGCCGGGAGAGGCGGAAGGGGGCGCGCGAGAGGGGAGTTCGTTCGGGGATGATGCTGATGCTGCGGATGCTGCCGCCTGAGCTAGATCTTCTTTGCACCCGCGAAAAGCCGCGTCCAGAAAACACACGGGGCGCGATCGCTTTCGCAGATAAGAGTTAAGCCGCGGCTGCTCATTTGTACACGCGATTTAAATGCAGCACGCATTGCAAACGGGCCCCTTCGCTTGTGTGTCCGAAAAAGGCCGCGTGTGTCTGAAACAGTCAGATGGTTACCGGGGTTGCCAGATTGTTTCACCAGGGCACCCCGAAAGTTATTGTTAAAGGAAATTGCTGAGCTTTTTTAAAAAAAAAACCAAGTTCAATACCTTGCTACGCAAGCTTTTTTTAAAAGACAACCCCCCAAGTTAAAAGAATCCCATGATTTTTCGATTGACTTGACTTTTTTTTTTTAAGGAAGATGCCAAAATTCTTGAGCTATTTTTTTTTGAAAAGAACATTCTTGAGCAATTTTTTTAGACAAGTTGTTCAGCTTTTTTTTTTTTTGAGCCCCCAAAAATCCTGCAAGCTTTCAATTGACTTGACTCAGAGCCAGGACAAAGTGCCACCCTTGGGGAAATCCCCACCCCCGGACATCAATTCCACCTTTGAAATCCCGTTGATGTCCGGGAAAATGTCCGGACGCATGGCTGCCCTATAATCATAATTCATCTTGGGCATCTCTTTCTTAGTTCATCTAAGAAACTATACTGAGCTTTAGAAGTGACTCTCTTAAGTCCAGGTATGGTATGGTGTGTCCCATTTTCTTTCCAACTATTGCCCTTATTGCAGATGGGGAACCTGTAGCCCTCCAGAAGTTCTTCTATTCCACAACGCCTGTCATCCCTGGCCATGCTGATTGGGGCAGATGGGAGCTGGAGGGCACCACTTTGGCCCACCAACATCTAGAGAGCCACAGGCTCCTCATTCCCGTCCTATAGCCTCACAGTCCAGGAACGAGGAACCCGTGGCTCTTTAGATGTTGTTGGGCCAAAGTGGTGCCCTCCAGATATTGTGGAATTCGGCGTCTATTGTCCCTGACCGTGTTGGCAAAGGATGTTGGAAACAATGGGAAGGAAAGGGAAAGGGATAGGTTTAGATACACTCAGAAATGTGTCTAAATTCCACCCCTGGTCTGGGAGAAGAAGAGGAGGAGGAGTTTGGATTTGATATCCCGCTTTATCACTACCCAAACGAGTCTCAAAGCGGCTAACATTCTCCTTTCCCTTCCTCCCCCACAACAAACAACTCTGTGAGGTGAGTGGGGCTGAGAGACTTCAAAGAAGTGTGACTGGCCCAAGGTCACCCAGCAGCTGCATGTGGAGGAGCGGAGACGCAAACCCGGTTCCCCAGATTACGAATCTACCGCTCTTATCCACTACACCACTCTGGGAGGATGCCAGAGATCAAAGTCTCGGCCTGGCACACTGACATCAGAGCTACGTTTGCTGAACAAGGATGCTAAGGGAGGTGATACCTTTAGAGAGGGAAGCTTGGATCTCCCACTCGGACCTCAGAGTAACATTGAGAGAGTAGATCGAATCTATCTTATGGCTCACTGGACTCCCTCCAATAGGCCCTAGAATTACACTCTGAATGTACCCTCATAATATTTAGTTTGTAATATTTGGCACCAATAGAGAATGTCTTTCCAATGCAAATAGGAAATTAAGAGGGCTGTTTCCCCGTCCCCTCCAGCCAACACACATCTAGTTGGGACCTTAGCAGAAGAAAAGAGCTAATTTGAGTCAAATGGCTAATGTGTATAGCAACAAGCCACTGGACACACTCACCATATCTCATGGAGAACATAGGGACCAAGGCCCCTTGCCCCCTCCCAGTGAGAGCCAGTGTGGTGTAGTGGTTAAGAGCGGTAGTCTCGTAATCTGGGTAACCGGGTTCGAGTCTCCGCTCCTCCACATGCAGCTGCTGGGTGACCTTGGGCCAGTCACACTTCTTTGAAGTCTCTCAGCCCCACTCACCTCACAGAGTGTTTGTTGTGGGGGAGGAAGGGAAAGGAGATTGTTAGCCGCTTTGAGACTCCTTAAAGGGAGTAAAAGGCGGGATATCAAATCCAAACTCTTCTTCTCCTTCCCATTAAAATATTTGAGGTGGCTGCCCACCACCAAAGTTACTGGGCGTTGCCATTCAAATGCTGTCTGTGCCTTCCCTTCCCTCCCCCCCTTCATTCAAGTTGGTAGTCCTGATGGATAATGTGTGCATCATCAGTCCAGGGAACTGAACACCTTTCCTAGTCACGATACAGTGGTTGCACTGGGTACCATGCTGCAAGCAGGGGGTGCCAAAACAATGCTGTAGAACGGAGCACGAGAGGTCAGGGGCACTGAATTTTAGCATTGCACAGGGTGCTGCTGAAATTTGAGAATCCTCTCCAACAAGCCTTTGAGGATGTGTGTGTCTTTGCGAGATTTTGCACCATCTCTGCCGTTTTGCATCATCTCCAATAAATGCACAAAAGCATGCCTACATATGCGCATTCCCCAAGGCGCGTTGGAGAACTCGCACTACCCCTAACATAAACAAAATAATGATATGATAAATCAGCAAAATGATCAACAGCTTATTCCGCTTAACATATTGCTTATACAAACTGGCAAACAGATGTGTGATGACGAGCGAGCCTTTTAAATCTATAATTGACTCCAGTTGAGTTAAAGGGCTGATAAACCACCGTGTCTTCGGTATTTCACAGGCGTTTTGCCTTTTTATATATGCAATTTAATGAACGTTGGTTATAAAATCTTCTGGGCAGAGCAGTCCTATGGAGGAGGCGGTGAGGAAGACTCTATGGGGATGACCTGCACTGTTAGGCTTGTTCTGACCAGATCAGACACTGCTCTCCCATTTGTCTGGGAGGAGCAGCTTATTCTCCACCCCCTTCCCCTTTTGTGAGCTTCCTTCCCATTGAGTGTGCCCTCTCCAGGATTGGCAGTTTCGTAGCCGGGTTCGGGGCATGTGCAGGGAACTGGATGGCTTGGGACCCTGCAGACCCAAATCTTCAGGGATGTGCTCTTTTTCATCTAGTGCTGCCACTGAAGGCAGAGAGATGGTACCCTACAGACTCCTTGGGCTCAGCCAGCGACATTTCTAAAGCTCTCTCAGAGGTCTGCTACCTTGATGTATTTAGGTCATTAATGCTTTATATTTCCACCCGTTTCGGTTTTAAAATGATTCTGCTTGTTACTTTTTAAAATGTGCCTTTTATCCCCCTGCTACCCTCTGCTTTTCGCTGTCCACTTTACTACCAACATCTTTTATGTAAGGGAGTTGGTAGCAATTTGTCCCCTAGCTTTCTCTCTCGGTGCAGTACTCCTACATTAGGTGGATGTGGGAGAATTTAGGTGGTTTCAACCAATGCTATTAAAAAGTAAATATAGAGACTGGCTCGAATCCATCCCTTCCACAGATTATGTTCATTTTTATAGTAACCCATACAGGCTTCTTAGTCAGAATTGCTATCTGAAAACCAAAAGCGGACTAGAAGCTCATTAGCCGTGCAAAGTCTTTGCGGATAGCCCTTATCCATAAATCAGCAGGTTAGAATAAAAACAAACACAAAATAAAATGTTGGACCTCCCTTTTCAGTCAATTGCATCTAGATGTGTAGCTTGCACTATACAGTGTTATTTCGGGTTACAGACACTTCAGGTTACAGACTCCGCTAACCCAGAAATAGTGCTTCAGGTTAAGAACTTTGCTTCAGGATAAGAACAGACATCGCACAGCGTTAGTGGCAGGTCCCATTAGCTAAAGTGGTGCTTCAGGTTAAGAACAGTTTCAGGTTAAGAACGGACCTCCGGAACGAATTAAGTTCTTAACCTGAGGTACCACTGTATAGCACAAATAATTTGCCTCTCTCATTCAAGTGTTGGAACAGTAAATACATTTAGTGGTAGTATTCCACTAAGTTTTACTCAGGGTAGACCCACTGACATTAATTGGTGGCATTCAGTGTAGTGTTAAGTGAGGTTAACTGTTAACCCAACAAGACTAGCTCCTAACCCTCCAGAGCAATTTTATGTGGCACAGGAAGGCAGGGAGAAGCTGGGAAAGTCCTTTCACATGAGCAGACCTCAAGCACACAAGAACTTAGCTGAATTTCACCCAATGACCCTAGTCTGGTTATACAGTGGTACCTCGCAAGACGAATGCCTCGCAAGACAAAAAACTCGCTAGACGAAAGGGTTTTTTGTTTTTTGAGCTGCTTCGCAAGACGATTTTCCCTATGTGCTTGCTTCGCAAGACGGAAACGTCTTGCAAGTTTGTTTCCTTTTTCTTAACACCGTTAATACAGTTACGACTTGACTTCGAGGAGCAACTCAGAACGCGGTGCGGTAGCCTTTTTGAGGTTTTTGAAGACTTTGGTGATTTTTGAAGCTTTTCCAAAACTTTCCCGACACCGTGCTTCGCAAGACGAAAAAAATCGCAAGATGACAAAACTTGCGGAACGAACTAATTTCGTCTTGCGAGGCACCACTGTATTAATGAATTTAAATGGGTCTACTCAGAGCAAAACAGCACATTTTCAAAATACAGTTTTTGAAAACAGGTCAGATTTTGAATGGTTACCCCCTCCGCCTGCCACACCCCATATGGCCTTGGATCCCATCTGCACCCTTCAATTCCAGAACTGCCATAATCAATGACAGGACATTAGATCTGGAAAAGAGACATGTTAAATTGTCTTCAGGGTTAACTGTAGATCTTTTGATCACACAGATCAGATTGTTAATCATTTTTGGAGGCAGGAATATTTTGCCCCCTGAATAGCTTAAACTATGTGAGATTAGGTTTCCATTTCACAGAACGTTATCATTAGACTCACCTGTGCAAGTCATCATGGTTTATTCTGCAAGTATCTTCTTGA